TTTCATCCATTTCATGTCGACTGATGCTAAATCTGTATCTTTGCACGATTTGGTGTCGTTAAATTAATGTGTTTAAAATAATATGATATAATAATTAATTTTACTTCAATCTACAGGTAATCTTTTAGCTTTTTAAAAGCATATAGTGACGAAAATTTAAGGGAATTCATACCACTTCTGTATTTTTCATCGAAACACGAATTAATTATCATCCAGCATATCTTATGTCATTTTTATGTTATTCTTCCCAATATTCGAGCGTCTTTGTAAGGATTTTTGACCTTTTATACAGGATACTTCACTTTGTATGTACTTAATAATTTTATTATCCATTCCTTCATAAAATATTTATTGATATTTTCAGTTTTGTCTACGAATATGATCGTCACAATGGAATTTCCGCCCTCTTGGAAGCAATGGGCAGGTAGTTCTAAGTTCACTTGTTTTAGATTTACCTTTTAATTCCTGCAAGGATCTTACATCTCTTATTATTACAGCATTTGCACCAAGTATTAGTCAATATTTGACAGATAGCGTACCTTTCATTTAGTTTGTAGAGGCGAGTAGAAAGATTCGTAAGTTGGCCTCACCGAAAGCTAGAGCTGTGATTGTAGATTTGTGCGAATAGGTCCTCAGCGCACCGCCCTGCTACAATGATGATTCCTTGATGAGCTTACCTCGGTCATGTGACTAATATGGTCATGTTCATGTGGCAATGCCTATGTGAGAGAGACCTCTAAGCCCATACATTAGGGATTATCGTAAAGTAAAACAGCCTGCAATGGTTTGTGGCTACGAAAATCGGAGTTATTCAGGCATATGGCTCACGCAGAACACCAAATAGACTGGTCTAATTTCAAACGCTTAGCTGGATATGGGAGCTATACCAGTAAGTGAAAGATTAGGAAAGCGATTGAAACTCTGAATAGAATGAACGAGTATAGGAAATTCTGTGTAAACTATCTGTGGCCTTTGGATAGGATTAGAGAACGAGGAAGGGGGGAAGGAAAAGAAGGCTGGATTAGGTCTGAAGATGGTTTTAACTCACATCTTAGGTATTTCAAGAGCGATACATTCCCACAGCGCACATACAATGGAACGCAATTACATGCGGTAACATTACAGGATACAAGATATAAATGCTCTAGCAGGAGATGCAGCAGTTCGGTCACAACTCCATCTATTTCACGCTTCATCTGCAGCCACTTAACTTGACTTTTAAGCAAATATTTAGACAAATCATATGATCTCCTACCTAATCATAAGATGTCTCACCTAGTGGACCTAGCTAGCTTATAAAAGATGGATAGATTTAAAGCTAGCCATTACACTTGTCTTCGTGTTTGGGTGAATTATTGTTAAGCATGGTTCCTTTCCTAACGATGTTCATCACATGACGGACGAAAGCTCAGCAAGGATTCATCAGTGTCGCAAGGCCCTGCGCCGAGTACCTCTTCGACAGCGTTAGAGCAGGACACCATGTTTAACAATAATTCAACAAAAAACGAAGGCAAGAATCTTGGCAGGCTTCAAACCTACCCACCTTTTATAGCCTAGCTAGGCCCATTTAGTGAGACATCTCATGATTAGGTAGGAGATCTTATGCTTTGTCTAAATATTTGCTGAAAAGTCAAGTTAAGTGGCTGTAGATGAAGCGTGAAGTAGATGCAGTTGTGACCGAACAGCTGCATCTCCCGCTAAAGCATTTATGTCTTGGATCCTGCAATGTTACTGCATGTGATTGCATTACATTGTATGCGCTCTGCGTAAATGTATCGCTCTTAAAATGCGTAAAATGTGAGTCAAAACCAGCTTCGAGCCTAATCAAGCCTTTTTTTCATTCTTCCCCTTCCTCTTCCTCTAATCCTATCCAAAGGCCAGAGATAGTTTACTGAAAAGTTAAGTGGCTGCAGATGAAGAATGAAACAGATGCATTTGTGACTGAGTAGCTGTATCCTGTCTCGTGGACCGCATCAACCTGAACGTCGTATTAACGCCAAATGTCAGCAGTACAAAGCGAATAAGCTGACGTCTTCTGATGAGAATGACATATGAATCATCATGTACTTCCATACGAAATGAAAATCTTCACATCAATCTTATATCTTCGATATTGTTAGGGGAACTTTCAGTTCGTATGAAAGTTAATGAAGAAGAGATTAGTTGGTCGATCTCACTAGATGATGACGGATTAATCTCGTTGTAATGCAACAGGTTTGGCCTATATATGATATTCATGTTGACGCAGTCCACAAGACTTCCTACCTCGTTTTAGGTAAAAACATGCTGAGCTTTCGTCCAGCATATGATGGACATCATCATAGTTGGGTTTCATTCTTGTAAGAGTCTCACGTTAACTCTAGGCCAAGAACATTATCCGGCCTTATCTTACTTCTAATATAGACTCAATTGAGCCAAAAGAAAATTAACAACCTAGATCGATATAGAGTAGTTTGGTTAATTTTCTTTCATACTGGTTCTGTTATTTTAGCTCGATTTCATGAGTATATTTATTTGTAAGTGTTATCGCCTATATGCAATACGGTTCCTAGATCAGAGTTTTCAAAGTTTTAATCTCAGGTTCTGATCCTCAAGACCTAATGACCCAAGAGAATGCCTTGGCCGTGACTGCGTAGGTCCGTAAACAAGTATGGTTGAAATAATGAGATATGAACTTGTAAGCATGAGCCTCGCTATACTGAATCTAATGAATTATTAAAGTATTTTGAATCCTTGAAATCTTCCTTTACTGTAAGTTTTATTATGCCTTACTAATTTCAGCGTGATCAATGGCTTCCAGATACCCCTAAAGCATGAACACAAGATATTTTTGCAGAGGGTTCTTATTCCTCTTCACAAATCCCCTTCTCTTGCTTCCTTTCATCCACAATTGGTCTATTGTATAACTGAATTTCTCCGAAAGGACTCTACTTTAGTAAAACCAGTGAGCTATTCATCCTTTTACCTTATTAACCACATTTATTTTCTTGCGCTATGTTTGTATCAAAACTGTCAAAGTTTATAGCAACCTTATAACTCGTTATTATGTATGCCAGTGCTATAGAAGCAGCTAGTATACTAATGCCATTTGGGTTTGTGCTAATGAGTAACTGAAGATAGTTTAAGCATAATACACATATATCACAATAACAATATTTTGTTTCTGTTACTCTCAGTCCAAAGCATGTTTACAATTTATCTATGCATGTTGCGATATTTTCTAGCGCTTATCAGACTTAGTTTAGCACTCCTTCACCTATGATTTATTTTGCTTTCGGATCCTTGACCAAACAGCCTTATTTTTTATGTCTATAGCACTACTAGCTTCATCTTCAAAGATGGTTACAAACACCCTCCAGCATTTATATATGAAAATCATTTTTAAAATTTATATAAAGCTAATTTTGCTTTTTGTCAATACTTTAGGATGCTAATAAATGAGTAACTTCATTTGCGATAATTTTGACTCATAGATACGTTGTAAATATGCGGTTCAGGCATAGCATGGAAACTAGGCAGATACGTACCACATAGGCTACATCATTTATTCTACTCTGTCTGACTACTTCTATCAATATATTTGTGAATGGTACCTTATTATTTAAATATCAAAGCAAAGTTGGTTTTCGAGTAAGCTGTGAGTTAAAGCGTGTGATGAAGAGATTTGAAGGTCGATCTCACCAGAGGAGGATGAAGAATTCCTTTCGGCCAGTTGTCGGTTGGCCTTACTAGAATATCCTTGTCGACACTGTCCCTGAAGCGATCTCCTTCGACTCCTTTGCCTTTCTTGTGGACATGCCGTTTATTTCTTGGTAAAATTTCCTCACTATACATTCAAGCTTAATGTGTTCTCTCTGGAAACTTATCTATCATAAACTTCATTTTTCTTAGGTGGGTAATATTTCAGTGATATAGGCTGGGATAGAAAGCATTCTCTACTCAAGATTTTGTTAATTTCAACTTAAACTGCCTATCTATCAGGTATATTGATAACATAGGTTGTTGTTTATTAATAGTGAGTTAAATTTACTTTCATCGAAGATATAAAGACCCGGATGGTGTGGCCTGTTGTATGGTCGTGATCTGAGATTAGGAATATCAGCGAAAAGAAAACGACTAGACACAGGTAATACTTTTAATGTTAGGAAAATAAATTACAAGGATACCGGAGAGGAGCAATCGGAAACCAAGAGAAGACGTCTACAGTGAGCCTATTCAACTCAAGTAAAACCACCCTATTTTGGAGGTTGGCACGCCATAGAATGTCGTAGAAGAGCGAGAGAAATGGTAGTGAACATTTTTAGTTGGCCATTAGTAGATAAGTTTGCTCATAAACGTGGTCCATGAAGTAAGGGCTTGACCACGAGATTTATCCGGTGCACATGCAACACAGCAATAAGAGAATCTGCAGAGTCAAGTTAGGTTGCCATGTTAATTGAGTATCCAGACTTAATGGGATTGCGCCATAAGGCTGGTGTATACGTGCTATCAGAGAGTTGAGTCAAAGTGTAGAACAACGCCTTAAACGTAGCACCACTACGGTGGCAGCGATGGAATGAAATAACTGAAACAGGTAGATAAGGGAAGGATCCTAGGGAGCAAGAGGGGACTCTGATAAGACCCGAAGAGAGGGGATTGCGGATTAAGCCGCAAACTTGGATCAACACTCCCGGCCTAGTGGGAGGGATGAGGAAACAAGCAGGGAGAGTGAATAGATTTTAAATAGGTCTAGATAAACAAATGGGAAATTGTAATATTGAAGGTGTGATACGAGGATATAGGATAGGTGAAAAGCACAGGACAGAATGAGTGATACCACAACTGTTTAGCACACATTTGGTCAAAGGATCGATTCCATTTGTCTCTTTGACGAGTTGTAGTGGGGTGCTAAGAATGGAAAGACTCAATGACGATGCCGACTAGATGCCGGCGAAACGTCTGGGAATGTATCACGTCTACGGCCCGACTGGAAATTATCATGCATACTATGGACTCCGGACAAGGTGCGTTCCTCTAGGTCTTCCTACTAATATGACCAAGTTGCGAAAACAAGGTCAAACAACTTCCATTAAATTTACTTTGTTTCCAGTATATTTTTATTCCTGTAAAACATCAAATTTCTTTTTTTTAAAGATTTATTTAGCTTAACCACGTTGAAATAATGACACCGTTTAATACTCAGAAATCCATCTCTTAATATTA